ACACCGTGCCAGCAGCACCTGGGAAGGCTGGCGGGTAGGGAGCTCACAGTCTGAGTTCCCCCTAGTCAGCTGTAGGGTCCCAAAAGGGAAGGTCCCGTTCCCTGGAGGTGCCTCTGGTTGGTGGCTGTATTGTCTCTCTGGGCAGCCGCGAGTACGGTCGGCGGAGGGGAGGAGGAGGCAATATGGCGCCTGCCGCGAGGCTCGGGTCCATGCACACGGAGGTGCCCGGAGCCAGTTGGGAGCTTGGTGCCGTGTCCGCTACAGGCTCACCGCTAGCTGGCGGCGGCCATCTCTGGGCTGGTGTCTGCAGGTCTCTCCACCTGCTGGGGAGCCCACCAGCAGTTCCAAATGCAGGCGAGGGGAAACGGCATATCCACCTACCCTTCCCGCTGGTGTCTGGGCTGCTCCGGCAGTCTCAGCTTCCAGTTCTCCTCTGTAGCCTCTTCCCTTGGAGTCTCCTGGGGTCTCAGGTTCCCCTCCTTCCGGCCCTCGTCCGCTGTATGCTCGTCTTCTTGCTTCTAATTTCTGGTAGAATCTGTCTTTTCTGCAGAGACACTCTGTCTGGCAGTGTTTCTCATCCGCCATCTTGATCGACCCCCCACACACACACCTTTTATCTTTATAACGAAACTTGGACACTGCTTTCTCAGATCAGTTCTCAGGGGCTGCATTGGCTAACTCACTGAAGTTTCCCCATATAGAGAGGAGCTGATGGACAGGCTAAATCTCCAAGAAATACTTTTTGAATAAACATAACACTGCCAATCTGATTATTTTATTTTTTAAGTGTGAGACATAGACGTCACTCAGCTTTATATCAACAGAATCAAGTATGCAAACACAGTGATCAGCAGATATGGAAAGTCCAGTAGATCTCTTTCACTCTCAAGAGGCTTCTCTCCTCACTTTTTCTCTTGTTTCTTGGCTACCCCATTCACTGTTGGGGTGTGTGTGTGTGCATCCCTTCTCTGTATTCTTCCTTTGCACTTCAACTCCTTTTCTGTTTACATGTCTGTCTGTCCCACCAAAACATGATATCCCCCATGGCAAACACCATACATATGTATTGGTATTTCACTTATTCTTCATAGCAATCATTTATGTAAATATTATAATTTCTACTTTAGAAATGGGGAAACAGACCCCAAAGATGTAAGTACCTTTCCCACCATCTCAAGGTGTGTGTCAGAGCCAGAATGGAAACCTGCTGTCGCTGTGTATAGCAAAAGGGGTAGAAGGCTGGAATTAGGCAGATTCCAGGCAACTGAAGGGGCTTCTGAGTGAGTTCTGTTGACCATCAAGCTGATAGAGGATTTTGTAGAAGAAAAAGAGATTCGTGGCTGCTCTCCCCACCTCTGAGTAACAGATTGTTTGCAGGGGTTGTTGTGGGATTTTGCCATGCAGTTTGTGACACAAGTTCTTAACTGTCTCCCCACAAACTGTCACAATTGGCTTTAGTATTCGTTATATTTTTCTATAGCACAATAAAATAAGCATGTTAATGTGGGAAAAATATTTAATATTTCTGTATCAGCGATTTCATCTGGGACACTGTTTTGTCAGGCCAAACCCAAGCCTGGAGACGCCCCAAAAGTGGAAGCAGGAGAGTTCTCATAAGGGAGTGCCCCAAACCATCTACCCATGGGGCTTCTTCGGGTTCCAAAGAAGCACTAAACACCAGGGAGATCCAAAGCATCTATCAGGAGAACTTACTTACAGAGTGTGCTGCAGCATCCTCATGACAGCTAGCCAAGAATGCTCTAGCTATGTATGTCCACACCAAGGGGGTCAGGTTATACAATTCTACAGGAAAGTTTAAGGGATGAGGTTCAGGGCCAGAGCTAGTTTCTTTCAGTATTTTGAGCAACAACCTAAACATCTTTATCAGTGCCTGGAAATGTTCAAGACTCCAACTTGGATTCAAGCCTACAGGGGAAAACATGCAGCTGATTGGGTCACAGAGCAGTCAAGGCACCCCACTCCTTGGTCAGAACAAAAGTGGGGTGAACTGGGGAACCCTATAGATACCATGTGAGTTCTGTGCACCACATTTTAGGATGAGCTTTTGAGGAAAGAACAAAGCCTTTATGTCAATTGTATGTGTGTGTGTGTTTGTGTGTGTGTGTGTGTGTGTGTGTGTGTGTGTATTATAACAGTATCAGATTACAGCCAGGCACCGTGGCTGATACCTATATTCCCAGCATTTTGGGAGGCTAAGGTGGGAGGATCACTTGACGCCAAGAGCTCGAGACCAGCCTGAGCAATGTAGCAAGACCCCATATCTACAAAAAAATAGAAAAATTAGCTGGACATGGTGGCACATGCCTGCAATCCTAGTTACTTGGGAGGCTGAGGCAGGAGGATCCCTTAAGCCCAGGAGTTTGAGGTTGCTGTGAGCTATGATCACACCACTACACTCCAGCCTGGGCAAGCAAGATCATGTCACACAAAAAAGAAAATCCAATTACAGCTAAAATCATTATATACACCATCAGTTCTTCTGCATTCAACACCAAATCCCAAAATCTGCTTCTTATTGGTGTTCTGAACCAGCGGATGGATGAGACTGGGACACCAAGGTCAAATCAGCCAAATTTTATTAGGATTGCCTGTGCAGGGGCTGTCACCACTCTGTGCAAGGAGGGAGAGCAGCCCCGACTGAAATTTCATTCTCCTTATATAGGGCAAAAGCTGGCAGCTTGAGCAAGCAAGCAATCAACAGAAGCAGAACTTAGCAGTTAGCCGTGGGCTGGGGCTGCTGCAGTGGAAAGCTACTGGGAACCACACCTGCGGGGGGAGTTTCCAAGTGGGGGGCGGGTGCTGTGCTATCAGGGACCTCCAAATGGGGCATGTGTTCTACTCCCAGAAGGGACTTTCCAAGTATGCCCTGAAGCATTCCCTTATTTCACTGGAGTCATAGTCAATTTTGTAAAAACTCTGCCTCGTCTTCTTTGCAAGGATTTAGAGGTCATCCATGTACAGAACCTAGCACAAGTAAGTGACTGATAGTACACAACCAATGAATGTTTTTGATAATCCCTGTCATTAGATTTTAAAACTCAGGCCAGGCACAGTGGCTCATGCCTGTAATCCTAGCACTCTGGGTGGCCGAGGCTGGAGGACTGCTTGAGCTCAGGAGTTCGAGACCAGCCTGAGCAAGAGTGAGACCCTGTCTCTACTATAAATAGAAAGAAATTATCCAAACAACTTAAAAAGTAGAAAAAAATTAGCCAGGCACGGTGGCACGGGCCTGTAGTCCCAGCTACTCGGGAGGCTGAAGCAGGAAGATCATTTGAGCCCAGGAGTTTGAGGTTGCTGTGAGCTAGGCTGACGCCACGGCACTCATGCCCAGGCAACAGAGTGAGACTCTGTCTCAAAAAAAAAAAAAAAAAAAAAAAGCCCTCAATACATGGAGCTATTGTCATTATTATACACAGCTCCAGGGTTAGTCTGCCCATTCATAGCCATATATAAGCACAGATCATTATCTAGGAAAATTAATAAAATAGTGACTTTCAGAAACAGGAGCAGGCAGCTTTCAGAGTGTTGGCATCTTGCAGAGAAGATGGGACTTGCAGTTTGAAAGGATGGGAACCTGGAGCTGTCCCTTTTGTCACTGCCCTTTAAGTAGGGTCCAAACCTAAAAGAGAGGACCAATCCAAAAACAGTTCATCATGGGAAAGCCTAGCCCTACATTACTTACAGCCTTGCAGAGACTTCAGTTCCAGACAATAAAAAGAGGTTTTACATTCGCAACTCATTTATTAAGCTAGCGTAATCTTGATACTAAAGTGCAACAAAAGGAGCACATGAAATAAAAGTATAGGATAATGTCACTCGTGAGGATATACATGAAAATCCTTTAAAAAATTATTAGGACATAGATTATCCATGACCAAATTGCAGGTTTAAGTGTAGAAACTTATCAATGTAATTCACCACATTAACAGAATGGAAGGAAAAATGCTATGGTCATTTCAATAGATGCAGCATTTGATGAAATTCAACATATATCCAAGATGAATACTCTCAGCAAACTAAGAATATAATGGAACAACTTTACTCTGATAAAGTGTATCTTTACACTAAATAAAAGTAAACATCATGGTGAAATGTTAAATTTTCCCATTTCTGATCAGGGATAAGACAAGGATGTCCACTATCACCAGTTCTATTCAGCATTATATGGGTGGGTGGTCTGCCCAAAGTCATAAAATCAGAAAAGGAAACAAAAATGTTTAAGGTGAAGCATTATAAAAGGTATCCACATAACAAAAACATTCATACCCCATTAATATTTTGAAATTTTAAAAAGTGTAAAAATGTTTAAAATGGCAAAACAAAATATTACCGACAGCTCAGCACTTGTCCTTAAGGTCATGTCAGAAGAACAAGTAGTCTGAGGAGAAAAAGAGCCAGTAAAAGAGGAGAAATGGTAGATCTTCTTGTCTCAAAATCCAAATTTCCTGAAAATAAGCATAAATACAGACCTTTTAAAGGGAATGCCCTCAGTTCTAGGTCACTGTGTTAATGATTCTAATCATCCCATCTCTGCCAAAGACAATACCCCACCTGGGCCCACCTTGGGGGCTGGTGCTGGTCTGGGATGGCTGACCTATATCCTGTGACACAAAGAACAAAAGACCTTCTCCCTGCCTCAGTGATGCAGGCCAGGCTGCAGTTCCCAAAAAGAGTGGGGAAAGTTTTAAAGAGACAAAAAATATATTTGCCTTCTTTTCAGGACATTCCCTCTGTTCAAAAATTGTTCTTATTCAAAGATGACATGATTGTGTAAGCTGAAAATTGAAAAAGATGTAGATATAACCTTTTAGAATAAGCATATTTAGCAAGGTAGCTTTATAGAAAGAAAATCAATACATAAAAATTATGTTTCTATTTACCAACTCAAACAGAATATAAGATCTAAGAAAATATACATATTTCATAGCATCAAATACGTAGGAAAAAATTCAACAAAAGATATGCAAGACTTCTTTGGAGAAAACGGTGAAACTTTATTGAGTAAATTTTAACAGTCAAATGTTGAATATAAGAATTGCCTGCATCATTTCAGTTTGTCTTCTTTTAAGTCTACGATTGCCCTTCACCTGTAACACAAACAAAAACATTACTTGGAACTTTATTTAGATGACACTAAATACAAAGGACACTACAGTTTGGGTTTTATAAAACGGACTAAAACAAGAACCCTAAGGGTGATCATATGGCTTACAATCCAGTTAAATCTTTGCACAGACTATGAGGGTAGACTTTCAGGCATATTAACAATATTTCTTAAACACACTACTCTTTCTAGTGGATGAAGAAATAGGCTGTTCAAGTTAACAACGAATTAAATTCAATGAATCTATTTAAAGGTAGTTTTAAGTAGAAAGCAAAAAATTGTGTCTAATTTTAGTAAAAATCCAAGTAAACAACAAATAATCCTGAGAAACAAGAGAAAAATGTTTGAAGCTTCATTTAAATGTTTTCACTTGAAATAACATTCTGAATATAGGATACCTAAAACAGTAATGTCACACTTGGAACTGCTTAAGTGAAGTAAATATAAAGGCTAGGATTACATTTGTTTTCTATTTATTGTACCAAAGTGCAAAAATGTTTTGGGGGCGGCCGGGCGAGGTGGCTCACGCCTGTAATCCTAGCTCTCTGGGAGGCCGAGGCGGGCGGATTGCTCAAGGTCAGGAGTTCAAAACCAGCCTGAGCAAGAGCGAGACCCCGTCTCTACTATAAATAGAAAGAAATTAATTGGCCAACTGATATGTATATAAAAAATTAGCCGGGCATGGTGGCGCATGCTTGTAGTCCCAGCTACTCGGGAGGCTGAGGCAGGAGGATCACTCGAGCCCAGGAGTTTGAGGTTGCTGTGAGCTAGCCTGACGCCACGGCACTCACTCTAGCCTGGACAACAAAGCGAGACTCTGTCTCAAAAAAAAAAAAAAATGTTTTGGGGGCTTATGTAGTTGTTTTGTATAGGGTCACCATTCATCCCCATTTTCACCCATACTCCTGCTTGTAACCAGGAATAATGCTTCTTTACATGCTTAAAAGTATTCTAATTTGCACAATACATTATATGGTCACAGTAGTTCTAAGCCATTACTATCACAGGTAACATCAAAATGTGAAGGAGACATAGTTTCTCAGTCTAGCAAGAAAAAGAAAAAGGAAGGAAGGTGGAGGGGTAGAGAGAAAGAAAAAAATCTAGAAGTCAAATATATAAATATATAATTATATAATATTCTCAGCATCTGTTGGTGTCTCACTATTTCTTATTGTGAATACTTGAGAGGTTTGAATGGATCCTATATTCAGATGTTTTCTAAAAGAACAATCTATTTGAGTTATGTATTAGCTGCATTATTTTTCCTTTTCCTAATGGTTAGTGCTTACTTTTATTATGTATCTACTTCCTTTTTCTTTAGGCTTATTTTGTTACTGTTTTAAATTTATTTTGTATATACTCATAATTTACTACCTTTTTCTTTTTTAATCATATATGTATTTAAGGCTATAATCATCCTAAGAGTACATTTTAGCCATGTTCAGTAGACTCCTGGAAGTAGTCAGAAAACTACCTTTTAATGTAAATATTCTAATGGAATGGATCAGAAATGTAAAATGAAAACATTTGGAAGAGTAATGCAAGGCCATTTCTTCCCTAAACATCAAGTGCTTCCTTTAATTCAGAAGCTCTTATAACTAATGGTCAGCAATTTGGAAAACACATGTGTAAAACATACTTAAGTTGATCACTCAGAAAGAACTACAGTCTTAGCCTTTAAACTTTAAATCTTATCAACTGATGTCTCAAGGTGGGAACTTACATGTAACATATGCTATGGTTAGAGGTGATTATATTATATAATGTCTGTGGTCTTACTAGAAATAGTAGGTTGTGAAGACTGACAGTGGGGCAGGAAGTGTGCTTAGCATAGGCATCACACCCACCTTGAGCATCACTGACCTATATGCACTCTCCCTACTTTATCAGCCACAGAAACCAGAAAGTCTCACCATTTTATTATTCAATCATTCAAGCTTTCATTGGAGGAAGGATTTAAAGTATAATTATTCTTTAAGAACCAGAGAATTCAGAAACTGACAGAATCTAAGAATAGGCATTAGGGTCTCCACAAAGAATAACAAACATCAGGCAGAGTGTTTACTCATTTTCTTAGTAGCAATGAAATCTCAATTCAGATGGTGTAATATATTATGACTTAGGCCAGGGTTTGATGATCTATGATAAACAAATCATGCAAAGCAGAGGATCTCTGTATCCTTATGTATTGTATTCAACAGAACCAGAGTATGAAAAAAATCAGAATTGAAAATGATTTTTAAACATCGGAAATGAACTCACTATTTTTATAAGAGAAAATACAGGCCGGGCACGGTGGCTCACGCCTGTAATCCTAGCACTCTGGGAGGCCGAGGCAGGTGGATTGCTCAAGGTCAGGAGTTCGAAACCAGCCTGAGCAAGAGCGAGACCTCGTCTCTACTATAAATAGAAAGAAATTAATTGGCCAACTAACATATATATAGAAAAAATTAGCTGGGCATGGTGGCGCATGCCTGTAGTCCCAGCTACTTGGGAGGCTGAGGCAGGAGGATTGCTTGAGCCCAGGAGTTTGAGGTTGCTGTGAGCTAGGCTGATGCCACGGCACTCACGCTAGCCTGGGCAACAAAGTGACACTCTGCCTCAAAAAAAAAAAAAAAAAAAAAGAGAAAATACAGGTTTAGAAGTTAAGGGATTCACCCAGAATCTCACAAATTATTTAAGAGAAAGTATTAGAACCTACTTCAGTGCTTCAGCATATTTTGCACAAACTGATATGTGTTATAAATGTATTACATACTTGTTAAAAGCCAACCTTTACAACACATATAAAAATTATTAGCTATTGGTTTAAGGAATTATACTCAAAAGTAATAAAATGCTTTCATATTTTATAATTCAGTATGGTTTTGACTCAGCTTGTTTCTATATCTGATAGTCTGTAAGTCAGGCATTTGGGGGTCTGAACTATGTTTCAAATAATCTTTATATAAGAACTCTATTATTAAAGTAGCAGTAATATTGCCTCTGTATCATTAAAAATACAATACTGTGGAAACAGACACTTTGTAATTTGCATGCTAAATGAATTATGTACCTGCTTCGGGCTGTTTAATATGCTCTGGATTCAGTAGACTTTTCCCCTGGACATCAGGACCATCTCCACGCTCACGCCCAGTCTTTGGCTCATCTAGTTCCTGGACATCAATTTCCAGGTCAGGCCCTTACAAATAAAAAAATATTATCAATTTAAGCAGTAAGACATGAAATATGAATAAAGAAATAATAATCATGCCCTCCGTGTCATTAAATAAATGCCTTAGGATAGTGTGATAATAAAGGTGTTGCATAAGAATCACAGGAACATTATTTCAGAAGTCTAATCCCAGAAAACAGGAAAGCAGTGTTTTTAAAATATTACTCTCTTCCTTTGCCAAGACCACTTTCAGACAACTTTGTTGTCCCCTTTGCACTTAACTGTTATTGTACTTATGACTGTCCTTTTCACACTAAATTACTGATTTGCTTGAGTCTCTCCAACTCAAGGCTGAAACCATGTCTCTCATTAGCACTAAGACCCCTAGCATGTAGCATGCCACAAGACCTAAGTAGGTACCAATAAAGGCGAATGAAAAAAAGTCTTTAAAAAATAAATGAATTCTACGCATCTGTATTTCCAAGATTAAAAAATTTAAAAATTAAAAAATAAATAAATGAAAAAGCCAAATTGATGCATTCCACAAACCAACTAGTCCTCCTCAAAAATGTCAGTGTCATGAATGACAAAGAAAAATCAAAGAACTGTTCCAGATTAAAGGAGACTAAATAGATATGACAGCTATATGTAATGCATGATCCTGGACTGGACTCTGGATCAGAAAAAAAAAATCTATAAAGGAAATTATCTGAACAACTAGGGAAATTTAAATATATGCTGTATATATTAAGTGACTACATTTTCTAATTGTTAAGTTTCCTGATTTTGATGATTGTACAGTGGTTATCCAAGAGAATGACTTTTTCTTTGTTCTTAGGATATATAAGGTCTTTCCAGAAAGTATCCAGACATTGTTAATATACATATTCATATTACATGGCTGGATACTTTCTGGACAGACCTTGTACACACACTGAAGTACTTAGGGTAAAGAGCAATAACACCTGAAACTTGATATAAACCTGAAACTTGATCTAAACAATTCAGCATTAATAACAACATAATCTAATGAGTGTATGTGTGAGGGGGTGATGGGGGAAGGGAGTAAGGGAAGAGGATATGAAACCAATGTGGCAGAAACTATTAACTATTGGTGAATTTAGGGAAAACTATGAGTTAATTGTACTAGTCTCAAAACCTTTTTATAATTTTTATGTTTTGAAAATATATAAAATAAAAATAAAAAAGAATATACGACAACTACATTGAACTTCAGGAAGACAGTTTTTTCTAATTGTGGTAAAAACCAAAAGTAACAGAATTTACCATCTTCACCATTTTTAAGTGTACAGTTCAGTAAAGAGTTATTTTTGCAACATTAGCAGCAACTAAGAATGGACTTCACATGTTTGTTTTCCTTTATTTTTTTTTTCAGAGATGGGGTCTCACTATATTGCCCAGGCTGGGCTTAAACTCCTGGGCTCAAGACAGCCTTCCTGCCTCGGCCTCCCAAATATCTGGGACTACGGGATTGTACCATCGTGCCCAGCTTGAAATCTTTATTTTAAATGACAATCTAAGGATAAACCATTAAGACATATATAATTCCTGTACTTTGCCATAGCACACTAAGAGAAGTAAACATCAGCTAAGAAATCTGAAGTCAACATCATGGATAGGATTTCAATTACAATTAAAATGTAAATTTCTGAGGGATTAGCTGAATGGATTTGAGGGATTACGGAAAAATCTTATAGTCGTGACACCTACTCCCTATGTAGGAAAACAAAAACAATTTTGTTAAAATAAAGTTATATTTCAGTCCAAAGGTCCTAAATGTAATATTCCATAAATGAATCCCATGTAGAACAAAGTACCAAAAATAACAACATTATTTGTCAATCACAGCAAATATACTATCTTACATTGAGAATAAGGGAGTATGTGGAAGGAAATTAATGGGCATTGTTGTCAGTCATATTCTAGAAAAATTTAACAGTGAACTACTAGAATAATCCATGACCTGAATTATGTCAATATTTTGCTTCAAATACTATACCTGGGAGAAATAATTTGTCTCATGTTGGTCTCAAGGTAATTAAATTTTTGGTTTTTCTAACCATAAAAGAATTTAACCACCTCTTAAAAGCCACTTAAAAATCATACTAAACCAGCTACCTGTATGCCAGTACCCTGAATTATCAGCTTTTATCAAATTTGCCATATAAAAATATCAATCAAAGGAAACAGTGGCCAACAGTCATTGACTCATTTTAGGAGTCGCTCCCACTCCACTAAACTGAGTCTATTCTTGGGCCAGTACTGAGCTACCTTACAGTACAACCATTTGAATTTTAAGAATTTTAACCAAAATCATTCACTTCTTTTTACAGTAACATAGATGGTAAGAAGACACAAACAAAATACACATTTGATATTCACCAGTCATAAGTGTTCTTTGATAAAACACAATCCTTGAGCCTCCGTTCTCTCATTTATAAATGAGGAAATTTTATATTAGTGAGGGATTTCCCTAAGCTAAGCTACAAACTCTATCCTCTTCGCTTTTCCAGCTAATTTTCAGATATTGTTTCTATTGTTTTCTTTCCTCCTGTTCTTGATACGTCACAATGCATAAGGCACCTATACACACATTCCCCCACACACGCACACCAATAGGCATCCTTCTTCCCTTTCCCTTCACCTTGAACTGCAGGTGCTCCCTCATTTATCTCCTGATCAGGATTAACATCCTGGTTTCCAGCTGGTGGCTCATCTTGACCACGGCGTTCATCACCAGCCTGCTGGGCCTAGGAGAGGCATGTAGGGTGTGTGTGTGCGCGCAAATAAAAAATGTCTGTTATTAATATACATCAGTAATATAAATATACAGAATACACAGACATTTCTGATCATTAGAAAGTCTTCTCCAACACTATTCTATATACTTGTTCTTAATAAAGTTAACTCTTCCCACAGAGAAGTTACTCCGAGAAAAAAGTTACCTGCAAGGACTTTGGAAGCTATTTTAACCTATGTTGGGATGGATGTGTACAGTCTGTCATGGATAAGCATGAGAAGGAAGTTATGGAAAAAAATCTAAGGAACTTAAGAGAACATAATCCTCTTGGATCAATGTTTCCTTCATAAGATTCCATTAACATTTTTTTTAAATCAGCACGGAAGACCTTTACCAGTTTATCTATACTAGGTCAAGAACATTATCACTAAAATGAATTTCTGCTGATAGAAAACATCAAATGTTAAAGCACAACCACAGGCCCAACCTGCTGAGAAAATTCTTCTTCACTTCTTCTTCCTCTAGGCCTGTAAGTTGATCTTCCTCGGTGACTCATAGTTCACACTGAAAGCAGAATACTGTGATTTGGAAAATGCACTTAAGAGTATGGCTGTATTTGACCACTTCCATGGCCAAATGTTAACTTGTAATTTTTTTAATTTTGAAAATACTTTCATAATAAGTCCCAAGGTAAGCATAAGCACCTAGGCCTACCCAACACTTGCAAAGCCATTTATGTTGGCCAAGCTGGCAGAGTAATTGTCTAAAGCTACAGTCCTCAACTCCTAAGCTGCAGCGTGGTACTGGCGAAGAGTCGCACAGTTTGTTAGGAACGCGGCCACACATCATTGCCTGAGCTCTGCCCCCACCCCTTCCAGGGGAAAAATTGTCTTTCATAAAACTTAGAAATTGGGGCTGCACAGCAGGTGAGCAGCCAGCGAGCAAGCAAAATTTCATCTGTTTTTAAGCCGCTCCCCCTTGTTCACATTACCACCTGAGCTCCACCCTCACCCCCCCCCATCCTCCATCCCCCTCACCGCCTCCCCCGTGTGGAAAAATTGTCTTCCATAAAACCAATCCCTGGTGCCAAATAGGCTGGGGACCAGTAGTCTAAAGGCTCATGGCAAAAGACAGAGAACATTTCTTTTCTTTTCTTTTCTTTTCTTTTGAGACAGGGTCTCACTCTGCTGGCAATGCTAGAGCACAGTGAGTGGCATGATCATAGCTCACTGTAACCTCCAACTACTGGGCTCAGGCAATCCTGCCTCAGCTTCCTGGGCAGTCAGGACTACAGGCGCCACTACCATGCTTAGCTAATTATTTTGTATTTTTTGTAGAGATGGGGTCTTGCTATGTTGCCCAGGTTGGCCTCGAACTCCCGGCCTCAATCCATCTTCCAGCCTCAGCTTCCCAAAATGCTGGGATTACAGGTGCAAGCCACTGCACCCGACATATAGAGAACATTTCTGATTAAGTTTGGTTTCACAACTAAACTCTCCATCATAGACACATTTAGGAAAACACAGCTAGAAAACTAAAACTGGAGTTGACTACTGCTTTCGTCACACTCACATTCACTAGACCCACATCCTCCCTAAAATCGAGTTTTGTAGAAGCGCTCAGCCCCGCCCATTCCTTCCTGTGGCGTCCACTAATGTTCTTTCCCAACCGCCATGGCGGAGGCGAGAACTGCGATACAAGATACAAACGTGGGCGCGCTCCTCACTCGGTACCGCTGTGGGGCACTACACAGACCTCGGGGACGTGATCACCAGGACGCAGGGTTCCCAGTTTCCGGACCCTTCCTTACCGCCCGCTCTGCCCCAGTCCCCATGGAGAACACCCGGATCAGTCCGCCGTCGTCTGGGTTTCCAGGCACCCCCGAGATTGGAATACCTCAAACAGCACCTCAGCACTCGCCCCATTTTCACCAGACCCTTCGCGGTGGGGCTCTGGGGTCCCCGCCTCCTCCCTTCTCCCAGCCCCACCACAAGAACAAGGCCCATGGCGGCGTCGCCACCTGTGAAGAGGACGATGATCTTGAAGCCCTTCCTTCTCTGAGGCTATGGACAGCGCTACTGGCCCCTCCCAAAGACCACTGGCTTCTCCCCACATTAACCCACATTTAAACTCCTAAGGGACTGATTTTTGGACTTACCCACTGAGTCTCGGTTGGTGAAAAGAATTCAGACTGGAGAGACGCTAACTGCACCCACTCAGCTCCCCGGCGTTCACCACGAGGTGCGCAAGGGCCGATGGGAAGGCGTGCAGTGAGCATGCGCACTGAGGCAGGCGCTTGCGCACTGGCTGAGTCTCACTGCCCCTCCCCACAACCCCACCCTACCCCCACTGCCCAGAGCTGGCAGTCTGTCCTCTGCGCTTTCATATGCCTCAGGGACTTAAATAGTGTCCCCCCTAAAAATTCACCCCATCATGGCCAGTTGTGATGGCTCACACCTGTAATCCTAGCACTCCACAAGGCCGAGGCAGGAGGAACACTTGAGGTCATAAGTTTGATAACATCCTGAGCAAGAGCAAGACCCTGTCTCTAAAAAAAAAAAAAAAAAATTAAAAAAAACTCAACCCATCTTCAACTGACCCCCCTCCCATGGCCCACTTTCTTCCCTTGCCCTGGTCCCATCACAAGGACAAGGGCATGGGGGCTGCCTGTGAAGAGAGGTAGACTACCTACTACCTACTAAAATAGAAATGGCAACATATTCCATAGGTTTTACATAAGACCAAGAGTCTCATACCTAATATTCAAAATGTCCAGCAAATAAATTCAAATTTAAGCAAAATATGAAGAAACAGGAAAACTCAAATGGGAAAAGACAATCAACAGACACTTGTGCAAAACCGAGATGTTGGGATCATCAGTCTTTAAAGGTGCAGTAGTAAGTAAAAAGGCTTAAACAAGCAATCACAAACAATGTTGAAACAAATGTAGAAATAAAACGTCTTAGCACAAAAAAGAATATTTAAAGGAAAAACAAATGGAAATTTTAGAAGTGAAAAATATAACGAAGTAAAAATTTCCCTGGATGGGTGTAATAACAGAATGGAGACAAGAAAAGAGTTAGTGAACTTGAAGAGAGATCAATAGAAATTATTCAATCTGAACAACTCAGGGAAAGAGATTGAAAGTGTTGGAAGTAACCCGTAGTGTCATAAAGAAAACAGTCATACATGTCATACACTGTAAATTGTCTCTGCAAGGCAAAATCTTTATTTCTGATCAGAAGGGCATGTAGGGGCAGCAGAAGTAACCAACCAGCAGCTGGCTACAGGTAAGTTTTTCACCTTTTTATCTTTAATGTAGACCTAGGGCTGTGGTCTCATCCCATTGATAAGGACTTTGACCTCACAATCTTGCCCTTACCTGCTTGTCTAGGGCGTGTTGTTGGGGTAAAAGAACAAGAAAGTTAAAGTTAGTAAATGTGGGGTCTTTTGGTATTGTAATAAAGGAGACTAAACAGGTTATTGTTATTGTACAGTTTGTGTTATGTATTAATAATTATATAAAGTTGGATATCAGACAGAATATTTCTTTGGCAGAAAAGATTAGGCCGAGGTCACCTCCTCCTACAATTTCCCACTCTTTTATATTAGACATTTTTTTTCTTTTAATTTAGTGAGGAGGAGTTGATTTTGGTGTTTTTGGTTTTTTAACAATAATAACTTGTTTTTATATGGAGGTGGAAGAGGTTGTTTAGTTACGGCTGTTTTTATTAATTTGTGGATTAGTCTTTTAATATAAGGGATAATGTAATATTTTATTAATATTAAGACATTAAATATAATAATTAAGGAAGTTACTATTGATGTCATCAACCAATTTTATTTTTTAAACCACTGTTCTATGAGGCTAGTGAAAGGGTCATCTATTTTTGAGTTTTTAGTCAAGGTAGTTAGTCCTTGTATACTTTTGGTGATTGCATCATCTGATGTTGTGTTTTGGGAAATGTAAGTGTTGTACTGATCTCTAATTGTGACATACATATTTTTTTTGTTAATATTATATTTAAAGTCATTTTATTTTTTTAGGTTATTTCATTGATGGGTCCTAGTTTGGCTATATTTTTATGGCATTTTGGTGTAATTCATAAATTTTTGTTGATTATAATATATGTAGTTGATTTAGTCTATATTTTTATTTATAGTGGACTATTAGAAGAATAAGGATTTAAATTTAGTAGTTATTTGATTTTTAGTTCTTAATTTATTTGGTATTCCTTGGGAGACTTTAATAGTATTAATAAAAATATGGGGCCAGGTGTAGGGGCTCATGCCTGTAATCCAGCACTCTGGAAGCCCGAGGCGGGAGGATCGCTCGAGGTCAAGAGTTTGAAACCTGCCTGAGCAAGAGCAAGACCCCGTCTCTACTAAAAATAGAAAGAAATTAATTGGCCAACTAAACATATATAGAAAAAATTAGCCAGGCGTGGTGGTGCATGCCTGTAGTCCCAGCTACTTGGGAGGCTGAGGCAGAAGGATCACTTGAGCCCAGGAGTTTGAGGTTGCTGTGAGCTAGGCTGATACCACAGCACTCTGGCCCAAGCAAAAGAGTGAGACTCTGTCTAAAAAATATACATATATGAGGATTAAAAGATTTTCTGGGAGTATCTATCTTTGTTTCTTTGTTTGATGTCCCTTTTTCTCAACTGGGAGTTGATGGAATATCAGGATAAAAAGGATGGCCAATTGCATCAAAGTGTAGGTGTCACTCCAGTTTTCTGGCAGGACCTCAAATAGTCAGTCTTTATAATACTACCAGATGTCTCTTCAGGGTATGGAGAGGGAAGACTGATTCTGTAGTTTTCTGAAGGCCAGGCTTTTATTGTACCATCAAGTTTCTAAGAGACGTCGCTTTCTCCTCCTGTCTAGATGAGGTGAAGTTGCCATCAGATGCTAGTGGTCTTATGGTCTTTGAGAGCTGACCCCCAGACCTCTAATGTCCAGGAAAAATAATGATAGGGTTTTGTATGATTTATTTTTTCATGTTGTGGTCTCCTGGAAGAGAGTTACCATATAGTGTAGGTCCATGGAATTTTTAGACCATCCAAGTGGAAAGGGAATTATTTGTGTCTCCGATCTTTTTGTTGCACAGGCATAATAATAGCTCCTATTTAGGGTGTGGACAGAATATTTGATCTACTTTAACCAGGCATTTTTATCTTTATATGTAGTTTTTGTTGTAACTGTCTTAAATCCTTGACTTTTACAATGGTTATTTTAGCTGGGTAATTAGGGAAAGATACAAGTGTAGTGTTGTGAGTTTATTTTTTTAATTTGCTTTGATAGTTTACTTTTTGTTAGATAAGTTATTAGTAATATTGCCTTTTATTTCCCCCTCTCTTTGGTAAAAAAAAAAAATTATTTAATGAACTCAAAATCTGGGGAATATGAGTGGAGGTCTCATCTTCTGTACTTGCTTTTTGTTGGACATGGAAGTCGAGATGTCCTTATCTGAGTTGAGAGTTTTATTTGGGTTATAGAGGGGGAGGGGGGTGAAAATGGACAGCTTTAAAAGTGAGAGAAGAGGAAGGACAGGAATCATGAAACTGTAAAGGTTGTTTTATTTCTCTCTCTTTTTTTAGTTTTAAATGAGTAACTGGCTGTTTCCTGTTGACCTTGAATTTATCACAAAACATAGTTTAGTGAGTTTTATTTTAACATTAGTAATTTAGTAATTGTAGTTATAGTAGACAAAAGATATATAGAAAGTTTAATAAATTTTATATTTTAATTTTACAGTAGTATATTGAACCTTTTGAGTTTTGAACATTTGATTTATCTTGTTTATTAGTTTAAATATGTGTACAAGAATAGAAATCCAAAAGGCTTTATACATAAGTCTCATAAATTGAGAATAGAGAACTTTGTTGTTCTAATCAGAGATTTATCTTTTATTTTAGCTAACTTAATTATATATAAAATCATTTTGTAAATTTTCCTCCACGAACCATATATTGACTTGTATGGACTATCTTTGATATGTTTGGACATTTTGGTTTTGTTCCAATTTTTATTAAATCACCAGTTATTTTTAGAATAAAAATTTCATTTAGTTTTTTTAATATAAAATTATTCTCTTTTTTTAACTTTCCTTACCAGAAATATATTCTCATATATTTAACTTTTTTACATCTCTCTCTCTCCTACTTACTGGTTCCTTTTATCTTGTTTTTTTTACTTTTTTGTTAAAATTATAGAGTTAGGAATCCAGGCCTAATAAAGGGAAAAAGAAGATTGTATGTAAAGTCTCAGTTAAGTTTTTCTGAGAGTCTGAGAGAGAAAGTCTGTGTTGTTAAAGGAGTTAGGTGTCTAACTAAACCATAAGATTTTTCCCAGTCTGGGATAAGGCAATTGGGAAGCACAAAAAGGAATGGGCAAAGACTTCTTCTCCCAGTGGGCAGAGAGGCTGTGGAATATATAGGGGGTTTGTATTTTTTTTATACTTTCTATGCACTAAGTGATTTGTTTTGTTTTAATTTGTTTTATTTCAGCATATTACGGGGGTACAAATGTTTAGGTTACGTATATTGCCCTTGTCCCACAAAAGTCAGAGCTTCAAGTGTGTCCATCCCCCAGATGGTGTGCACCACACCCATTAAGTGTGTATATACCCATCCTCTCCTCCACCTCCCATCTGCCTGACAGCTGATTAATGTTATTTACTATATATGCATTTTAAGTGTTGATCAGTTAATACCATTTTGATGGTGAGTACATGTGGTGCTTGTTTTTCCATTCTTGGGATACTTCACTTTGTAGAATGGGCTCCAGCTCTATTCAGGATAATACAAGAGGCGCTAGATCACCATTATTTTTGTGGCTGAGTAGAACTCCATAGTATACATGTACCACATTTTATTAATCCATTCATGTATTCATGGGCACTTGGGTTGTTTCCATATATTTGCAACTGTGAATTGTGCTGCTATAAACATTCAAGTGCAGATGTCTTTTTTATAGGATGTCTTTTTTTTCCTTTGGGTAGATGCCCAGTAATGGGATTGCTGGATCAAATGGTAGTTCTACTTGTATCTCTTTGAGGTATCTCCATATTACTTTCCACAGCAGTTGCACTAGTTTTCAGTCCCACCAGCAGTGTAGGAGTGTTCCTATATCTCCACATCCATGCTAACATTTATTGTTTTGGGATTTTTTTATAAAGGCCATTCTCATTGGAGTTAAGTGATATCTCATTGTGATTTTGATTTGCATTTCCCTGAAGACTAGAGATG